TATGCCTGCAATCTCAGCACTCAGGAAACCAAGGCAACAAACCTGTGCATTCAAGGCCGGTCCAACCTGAGCTACAAAGCAAAACCTGTCTCAAAAACTAACCAACTTAAATAAGCAAAAACATTCAAGCTATATAAAGGAAAACCTACTAAAATTATTAAATATTTGCATAAAAATCTGTGAAAAATATGTAAATATTTGCAAGCAAGCTTTAAAAATAATTTTCATCATTTTTTATCCCTTCCAACATGAACCTGCTGTCTCAGCTATCCAGGACTGGAATCCCTTTCCCTACATCCAACTTTGGTATAACCAGACAAATCCCATTGGGTGGGAGAAGCTGAGCTGTCTGCGGTGCTGCTGCAAGGCCTGGCAGCTTCCAGTTTTGTGTGGGTTTGTGCGGCTCACACAGGCTAATAACAGTGAGGCACTAGAGAGAGAAGGGCCAGGACACACGGACGAGCACAGAAACATCAGAAATTCAAGGAAGATCTTCTTGGACCTGCTAGCACAGAGGTTCTCAGCCTGTGGGTCGAGAACCTTTGTGGGGGTCAAATGACCTTTTCACCATTGAAAAACAGATCGTTATCATGATTCGAAACAGTAGCAAAATTATAGTTATGAAGTAGCAACAAAAATAATTTTATGGTTGGCAGTCACCACACCATGACGAACTGTATCAAAGGGTCGCAGCATTCAGGAGGTTGAGGAACACTGGCCCAGTGCTTCCTTTCCTCTCAACTAGTACCTAAGAAAAAAGATGTAGTAGGCAGAAAGGACGGCAAGGAGGCCACTGGTACCAGGGAAAGAGGAAGCCACAGACTTTGTATCCTATCCAGGAAAAGAGGCTCCAAAATACCCGCCCTGTGTGACTGGGTATTCAGAGGAGCACTGGGGTATGCTGAGGAGCTAGGGGGTGGTAACTAAAGGGACCGGGCAGTCTGTTGGTAGGGTATGAGCTGCTTTCCTACGCTCGGCCCCTTCAATGTCTGAGGTCGAAGGCAGGCATCAGGACAAGATGTCTGTAAGTCATCTGCGTAGAGGAGATAGCGTACATCCTGAGAGTAGATGTGACTACTCTGGGAAGGGCGGGGTGAGGAGCGATGAAGGCTGCAGGGGTCTCAGGCATTCAGGGATGAGGGGCGATGAAGGCTGGGGGTCTCAGGTATTCATGGGGTGAGGAGCGATGAAGGCTGGGGGTCTCAGGCATTCAGGGGTGAGAAGCGATGAAGGCTGGGGGTCTCAGGTATTCATGGGGTGAGGAGCGATGAAGGCTGGGGGTCTCAGGGACGCCTCACCTGTAAATGATACTTTTCACCAGTTCCGCATCCTCCCGGGACTGGCACAGGTGGAGCACGGTTTTCAACTCTTCCTTCAAGATGAGCTTGTTCTGGGTCAATTTCTCCTCCAAGTTTCTGAAATAGATGGCTGAAAGAAAGCACAAGGTGGTAGCGAGCACTCAGGATGGGTGGGACTGTGAGCAGGCTGGCCTCAGGGAGAAGCCCAAGCAGTCCACCCCAGTCTCTGGAAATCACAAACTGAGGAGCGTAGGAGTGCCTTTGGCATGCTTTAGGTGACACTCAGGCACACGCAAGTTTAACAACTACTATTCAGCCCTAATAAGAAAAACCACAGGTGACTCACGAGAAGAAGAGAACGTGCAGCCAGACACTCAGACCATCAATGAGCAGGATCTCAAGAAGGGAAGTAAAAGGAAATGCAAATTCATCATGGATTTAGCCAGACCATGTAATTCAGGAATATTTTGTGTTCTTGCAATTGGTTAAGCTTTTCCTTTCTCATCCCCACGGCCTGTCTTTACTGTAACCAGACTACCATAGGATGGGCAGAGGGGAAAAAAACCAAGCCAAACAAACCAGTTCTCTAAACAGTAGCACTCTTTAGGGACAGAATCATCTTCAGGTCATCTCTATCTATTTTGGTTCCTGTTTTTGCACTGATGGAGAGGAACCTCTAGAGTTCTTCTATGGAACAAACATCAAAGGGACCATGGCTTCTGTGGATTACTTTCCTCAATACTGTTGGGAAACACAGCGCAGGAGGCAACAGACAGGGCTATTCTCATTTCAGGAGTTCCATGAGCATCTCAGGATTGGTTACAAGTCCAGAGCTTTGAAGCAAAGCTGCTGAAGTAGCCGCACAACGTCCATTTGCAATGCACGGACCTGAGCAGATCACACTGCTCCTGGTGTACAGGAAAGACCAACGTGGTTTACGACCAAGGCGCTGGGTCTTTTGATCTTTCTTCTCAGAACCAGGTGATTGTTTTACAGATTCAAGGACCTGGGAAGATCTACGTCCTTCCACTTATATGCTCTGTAAATATCCTTGTCTGTGAAACATCATTTCTCAGGTACAAATAGAGGACTATGATACCTACAGCTCATGGGATTATATGAAAGTATATACATTGGGGCGTGGTCTCTCAGAGGCTATTGGCTGAAGGAGCAGAAGGAGGTCCCGCAACACCAGAGGTCTTTAAAAAGCAAAACAACAACAAAAGCCAGAAGGAAATCTTAGCTATGCTTATAAAGGAGCTTGAAGCTCTGAAATAATTCCACCTGCAGCACAGAGAGAATGAACGTAACCAAGACTGCCACGGCGTTAAAGGCACTAGGGCCTAAGAAACCAGTGTCCTTGGATTTTCACTGCTTTTTAAATTTTAAAAATATTTAAATTATATGCTTATATGTTTCAGCCTGCAAAGATCAGAAGAGGACATTGGACCACCTGAAGCAAGGGTTCTAAGCAGATGTGAGCCACCCCATATGGGTGCTAGGAACCAAACTCAGGTTCTCTGGAACAGCAACAAACACTCCTAGCTCCTGACCTATTTCTCAAAAGTAGGAAAGAACAATATAATGACCATCAAGGGCCAACCAGCCTCAACAAATACCAACAGTTTGCTAATTTTGATTCTTCTATAAACTCTAAACACAATGAACTTTTCAAAGCAAATCCCAGATTTTACGATGTAAAAATGCCAACATGCACTCTCACAAGGGGGTCTCATTTACCTACAAGCAGATCACAAAGTCTATGTTTCACCAAGGATTACTCAACATTTGAAGGCCAGTCACCTGGATTCTTGAACTATACAGTGTATACAAATCATCTGTGGCCCTTCCATTTGCATCGCCATCCGTCTCCCAATTGATGCTGATGCTGGTCCTCAAATCATACTGAGTGGCACAGACTAGACAACTGGGCACAGGGCTAACTTCACGATTTCCCTGGGATCCCGGGGGCGGGGCTAATGTGAGAGGAAAGGTAGACTAGGAAACTAAGCAAATGTTCACTTTTTTCCCCTCTATGTGGTAGGTCTCGAAAGAATAGACAGAGAAAAAGAGGACGTTTAAATGACAAACGGATGAAAGAGTCAACGAAACAGACACTACCACTACCTTTGGTGCTGGGAAGGTTATATGCAACAGCCACTTTCTTCTGTTGGAATTCCTTCAGTTTCACAATGCTGTCTGTGAGTAGGTATCTTTTAGCTAAAGAACAGGAAAAGAAAATTAAGTGAAATTATTTTGATTCTTTTTTCCCCCCTTAGGAAATGACATAGGTTAGAGCTTGGCTGACGCCAATGAGCTCATCTTTACCTATTATATTAATAAATGATCATCCAGATAGACAAAAATATTACAGTATTCCTGGTGGGGAAACAAACATCTCCAGGCTACTACTGAACTCAAATCTTGGCAAAAGTCTTACGTTTGAAAGTAGGTAATGATTAACAGAATGTGAAGACTGGTTGACACATGAGAAGTGAAGAACAAACTTTCATGGCATTTGCCATCTAGCTAAGGGCTAGTAACTGCACAGACGCCACACAAACACACACACACACACACACACACACACACACACGCTTTTTTTTTTTTTTTTTTCTATTTGGTTTATCTTGGTTTGAGAAGCATGAGATGTTGAAAAAAGCTACACCGAGACTTCTGGCTTTGTAACTTCTGAATTGAAGATGGCCTTTTAGATCCGGACTCAAGTAGCCTTAAATCAGAAATCACTGACTACAGCTTAGCAAGTCTGGAATGTACCCTTCTTCAGCATCTTTGGCTATGCATGAGATAAAAACATATGAAGCTTAGCCAAAAAACCGTGCACTTGAGTTCTGCTAAGACATGGTAATAATAATAAAAGTTATTTATGAAAAGGGAACCCTGTGAAGCTGTCAGACCTGAGTCTTTTGTTCAAATACTCGCTCTGCCAGCTTTTTGTGTCCTTGGGCAAGTGACAGTCTTGCCTGTTTCCTGTTTTGTAAAGGTACAACCTCTGTCATTGGATGCTGACTGAAGGAAAGAAATTCATATATGTAAAATACATCACAACATTAAATACTTTTTATTATCATTCAGTAGCAGTCTCACGTTTAATATTTTCAGGAAAGCAGTAAGGAATAACTTGGGGGATGAGGAAGCCAGCCTCGAGTCTTTCAGAATGTAAGGAACACAGCTGGGGTTCTCGTCTCTTAAACTCTGTACCAAAACCTTGCAGAAAAGGAAACCCAATAAGTGAGGAAAGCTCTCTAAGAGCAACGTGGACCATTCCGAGTCCGGACCCTAGCTGCCCTTTGCTTTCCAGGCACCAACTGGGGTCCCCAGCAAACGGGGCTACACACACGTGCAGTCAGAGGGAAAGGTCGCCCGAGCCTTCTCCAAAGAGAGATGCTGCTGGGGTCTCACGCTCCCTTCTCTTCCACCCTCCCTGTCTCCACATCGTGAGGACGCGGGTACCTCCGAGAGTGCAGCGGCCGCAGGCGGAGCCTGAGCCCGCCACCCCGGGTTGCAACGAAGGACGCGGCGCCCGCAACCTTTCCAGGGGCCGAAACACCGTAGCCATGTTGTCCCGGCCCGGACCGCACCAACTGCGGCACCCGGAGAGGGGGAAAGGCCTGAGGCGGTCCACTTCCGGAGGAGGCGGGGTCTGCCCCTGCCCCGCCCACCTCTGGCTCTGACCTCCGGGCCGGCGTTCCACTTGGTACGCTTCAAGATGGCGGCCCCCATGGTGCGGTGTGGGATGCTCCTGGCTCGGAGAGTAGCTACGGCTCGCCTTTCCCTGGCAGGTTGGTGGCTGCTGCCTTGGAGGGACAGCTCCATTGGGCCCCTCAATACGCTCTTCACTGAATGAAGGGAGTGATAAGCTTTCAAGAAGGGCGTAAATGCTTCTGGGATCCGGTTGCTAGAGAAGCCGCTTAGGTTATTGGTAGCGTAGAAAGGAAAAGGAACTAATTTCCTTTAAGAATTAGTACCTGCCAGTCCAAAATTATGTGAAGTAAAGGAAGCCAGTGGCGTGAGAGATTTTGCGCGTGTCTTGCAGGTTTAATGTGTTAAGCCAGCAGACATTTTGCTTACCATGAAAAATCCAAATTATGTTCACACCTGGGGTCAGAATAGTCTTCTTCCACCCGAGAATTCTTTGGAGCGGCATCAGGCTAAAGTTTTCTTTACCTGATCACCTCGTACTTGATGGTCCGGATCCCCGTTCTTCACCTCGTGAAAGAATATTTCATTCCTAACTTGGCTTTCCCCAGTGACCTTGGTCACAGCTTCTGCCACACACTTCATTTTTACCGTTTCCCACGTGTAGGTGAACAAGTGTTAATAGTTAACCCGTAGAGCACTTTGCTGTCTGAGTTGATTGGCACGCCACTCAAAGCCTTTATAGTGGATCTGATGACGAAAACACATTTTAAAGTATTTAAAGAAGCCAAGTTTGCAATGGTTACAACTTCATAATCCTTGAAGATATGCCGGGTTATAGGAGTAAAATGTACTAACCACGCTTGGATGTTTCCAATGCTGCTAATCTCTTTTCAGTCAACCTGCCTTAACACCAGCTTTTTTTTTTTTTTTTCCCCCGAGACAGGGTTTCTCTGTGGTTTTGGAGCCTGTCCTGGAACTAGCTCTGTAGACCAGGCTGGTCTCGAACTCACAGAGATCCGCCTGCCTCTGCCTCCCGAGTGCTGGAATTAAAGGCGTGCGCCAACACCAGCTTTTAAAAAAGCAATACACACTTGCTCACACTGCTTAATGTACAGCCCTTAAGAAACTTCATATTTGACCTCAAGAGTTTTCTGAAGATTTAGGGGTTGCACTACATGGTAAAAAGATTGTATATCACACATTTGGCAAATTGGTACGAACAATACGTGGTACTAAAGTAAGAATGTTCTGTAGAGCTACTTACTATATTTAATTATGACTGCTAGTAAGTTCTCTGAAATCTACTAAGACCCTGTTTAGTAGATAAGGGAGAGTATGTTGGTTGTTTATAATATTTGGGACAACCATTCTAACAAGGGAATGGAGATTGCATGGAGCAACTTGAGAGAACCTTTAACTTAGTGGCTTGATTTCAGTTTAAACTAGCAGACTTATACTGCACCTGTGCCATTCCAACATGGTAGTTGCTAGTACATGTAGTTATTTACATTTTAGTTGAAGATACATATTTAAAAACTAAGTTTTTTAGTGGTAGAAAGTGTTTTAAGTGTTCAGTGGATCTATGTAACTGTGGTCTTTGACTTGGACAGCTTAGAATAGAACATTTCCATCACTACAGTAAGTTATATTGGACAAACACTACAGTAGGCCATGGGTGGAGGCTATAGGGAGACAATGTAAGTTCACAGGACTCAAGGATTTGGGTGTGTGGATAAAAGGCTTGACTTAGACATATTGAATTGTTTGATCTGGAAAAACTCTCTGCTTTGTACAAACTCAGAACAGGCCAGTTGGCATATGGATCACTGAGACTTCTATCTAGTCTACTTAAAATACAATGAGAAACAGCTAAAATGATCAAAAAGTTGGAAGAAAAGTTAACTGAGGTAGAACAACAAAGACAAGTAATGGAAAGGATGGAGGGTGGAAGCTTACACCATTGATAGGATTCTGGGCGCCAAGGACTGGTGGGTGAGAGCCCAGGGGCCTCCTGGGGAGCAAGAGATAAATATTCCACACAGACAGAGCTTAAGTGGGGAGTTTTATTAGATAAAGGGGGAAGGGGAGAGGAGAGACAAAGAGAAGTAGAGAGAGAAGAGAAGTAGGCGAAGCTTAGCCTTCTAAAGTGACAGGATACTGCCTGCCCTGACATGCTCTGTCAGGTCCTCAAAGGGCCATCAGGTTCGTCTGAATGCTGACAACCATTATTTAGTAGACATTAAGAGACTGAGTCCTCAACTACCATGCTGAAATCGGTAGTATTCCCTCATTCTGTGTATGATGAAAGACAGAGGTGCTGTGTGATCAGTTTTTCGTAGCATTTATTACTGGCAAACCAAGGATTAGAAGTTAACTTGTGACTCTAAAGCTTGTCTATTTTCACAGTCACATTATTGATCTTCCAACAGCAACAAAGGCTTGGAGATAGATTAAAAGCCCAAATCATGAGTCAGGCGTGGTGACATACATCTTTAATTCTAGCACCCGAAGGTAGAGGTAGGTGGATCTCTGAGTTCAAAGCCAGCCTGGTCTACTAAGTAAGTTCCAGGACAGCCAGGGCTGAAACAGAGAAATCCTGTCTCAAAATAATAAAAACAAACAAACAGTAAAGGCTGAAATAACAATAACATGTAGAAGGTGTTGTTCTTTTTTAAAAAATACTGCAGGATCCCCGCGGCAGTAGGCAGCAGAAATGCTGTAGGTCCCAAGTGGTGGTAGCGGGCCAAGTGGTGGCAGGCAGCGGGCTCTGGGAGCAGCCAGTCCCAGGCAGAAATGGCTGCCGGTCCCAGAGCAGTGGCCTGAGTGGTGGTGGTGGGCCACGTGGCGGCTGACAGCAGGCCCTGGGAGCAGCCAGTCCCAGGCAGAGACGGCTGTTGGTCCCCAAGCAGTGGCTGGTCCCAGGCAGGGAGACACATGGCGGGCGGGCAGAAGACAGAAACATGGATAGACACGACATGCAGGGTGAGGTTGAATGTTTAATCAGGGGGTTATGGAGGAGGAAGGGTGAAGGGGGGAGAGAGGGAGAGGGAGAGGGAGAGGGAGAGGGAGAGGGAGAGGAGAGGAGAGGAGAGGAGAGGAGAGGAGAGGAGAGGAGAGGAGAGGAGAGGAGAGGAGAGGAGAAAGAGACAGAGAAGGGGGGGGAAGCAGAGAAGTGGGAAGAGAGGCAGAAGCGAAGCTGCCTCTCCGAGAGGAAGATGGAAAAGTCAGCTCAGGCTGGAAGCTGGAGATCAGCCTGCCTCAGCAGATGGGGGAGGGAGTGGAGTGGGAGTGGGCGTGGCTTGTCTCTTAAAGAGACAGAAAACCATAATAGAAGGAACAGATGTTTTTCTCCAAATTTTGAGGTTCTGGTCCAGAACTAAGAGGACAAATGTTTCTTTTTATTGAGGATACTTATTTTAAAGAGTATTGTTGCCCAAAGGAGAGCGATCCAAGGATAGTAGGCATGAGAAGATTCTAAACTCTCTAGTACTTTGAGATAGAATCTCACTAGGTTGGACTGGTTGCTTTGAAACTCTGCATAGGGCAGGCAGGCCTTGAACGTGCAGGTGCACCCACCTTTGCCTCAGCCTGGCTAAGTAAACATTTTGAGTGGCAGGTGTAGAGAGGGATTGGGCAGGCTGAGCCCTAAGCCTGTGAGTTTGAGTCTGTCTGTCCTCTGACTCATTCAAATGTGGTCTGGGGACTTTCATTGTCATCTGTTAGATATGCAGAATCTGTCTACCCTCTCGACCTGCAGAACTACTGTCTGCATTTTAATGAGATTCATATGCATACTAAAGTGTAGAGTCCTATCTGGGTTTTCTACTTTGCTTCTGGCTGACCTCCTTTAATCTTTTGCCCCTGGCTGTAGAAATTCTTTGGCTGTAACATTAATATACAGGCCCTCAGTGTGCTTCATAAAGCAGCACAGAAAGATGAGTGCTGTTTTATTTTTCAAAGTGTGTGTGTTTGCATGTGTGAGTAGGCATGCTTGTGTGTGTGCATGTATGTAGAGGCCAGACGTCAAGACAGATATTATCATCAGTCATTCTCCACTATAGAAAGCTCAGGTTGTAATGTCTGTGTGGTCTGTTGTGATCTCTGGGCTGCTGCCTTTGGGATGGAACTCACATGCCACACAACTCACTCCTTGAAAGTACACAGTTCTGACTTTCAGTAGAGTTGTGTGAGCATCTGCACAACCAACTTAGGATATTTTTATCACACCCCCAAAGAAATCTTTATCGGTTAGCAGTTACTCTCACTTTCCCAGACCCCATTCCCAGGTCTAGGCAGCGAGTAACCTCCTTGCTCTCTAGATTAGCCTATTCTGATGTTTCACGGAAGAGACTGAATACCTTTTCACTTAACAGAATATTTTCAAGATTCTTATTTTTAAATTGCTAAATAATGTATCCTTATAACCTGTGGATATTTTGGGCACTTCTGCCTTTTTTCCATTATTAACAATGCTTCCATGAACACTGGTGTATAAATTTGATGTAAATTTAAGTTTTCATTTTTATATCTACCTAAGAGTAGAATTACTAGGTTACTTGGCTATTGTGATAACACTTGGGTTCTGCCTGTTTTTCCAAGCACTTGCACCCCAGTATAGTCTCACCAGAGATGTATAAAGTTCTGATTTTAACCGTAGCTGTATCTTCTGCTTTATTATTGTGATCTTTGTAGTGGGCAGCTTTGCTTTGTATTTTCCTAGTGGCCAGTGATGGTAACCATTTTTGCTTGCCTCTCTGTGTGTGTTGTGTCCATAATCACAAGTTCTGCATTTTTTTTAATTCAGCCAATTACAAATCAAAAATACTTTTTAAAAAATTGCATCTGGGGCCTGGAGAGTGCTTACTGCTCTGGCCGAGGACCAGAATTTGGTTCCCAGCACCCCTGGGTAGCTAACGATTGCCTATCCCCATCTTAGGGAATCCAAGGTTCTTTTCTGACCTTTATGGGTATATGCACTTGCACACTCACACACACACACACACACGCACACACATACAAAGTTACACTTGGACTGAATATGTGGTTATTTTTTTCCTTTCTTGTCACTATCCCCTAAATAATCAAACAAAACAGCTCTTTGCATAGTTGTTCTCATGAAATTGAGTATTATAAGTAATATAGCAGAGACTCTCAAAATTTAGAATGGTGTACCTCAGTTATATTCAAATTCTACATCATTTTATGCTAGTTTTGATTTGGTTTGGTGTTTTGAGACAGGGTTTCTCTATGTAGCCCTGCCTGGCCTGGATCTTGCTTTGTAGATCAGGCTGGCCTCAGACTCACAGAGAATCTCCTGCCTCTGCCTCCCGAGTGTTGGGATTAAAGGCGTGTGCCACCATGCATTTTTTTAAAATATCATTTTATGTCAGAATTCATATGTCTATGGGAAATCCTGGAGCTAATTCCTCAGACATGGAGGAACAATCTCATGTGGGGGAGGGGGAGTGTGAATTTGTGTTTGGTATGTGTGTGAGTATGAAATGTGGTGTATGTGAATATGTGAGTGTGTGTATATGTGTGTAGTGAGTGTGTGTATGGTGTGGTGTATATGATATTGGGAATTGAACACAAGACCTCACATATGCTGGGTTAGCTTTCTATCACTAATAGCCCCAGATCCTTTTGTACTATTATAATTTTTAAATACGTTTATTTGTTTACTTCGTAGGGGAGGGGAACATGTATGTGTTGTGGCCCATGTGGAGGCCAGAGAATAGCCTTCAGGAGTCAGTTCTTCTACCATGTGAGGTCCCAACTTTGAACTCAGGTTGCCAGTTTTAACAGCAGTCCCCTAACCCCCTGACCCATCATACTGGCCCAGTACTTGCTGTTTTGGGGACTAAGTTACTTAGGCTGGCCTTGAACTCATGTTATAGCCCAGAAAGATACTGAGTTTGGAACCCTTCTGCTTCAGTTTCTTCATGACTAGGATTACAAGCTTGTGTTACCAGGTCCAGCATATTTTTGTTTTGTTTTGTTTTTTGTTTTTTGAGAACTCTCTGCTCAAATCCTTTGCCCAACCTTTCAATTGGCTTGTCCTGTATTATTAAATTGTAAAGGTGCTTTATTTCCTGATGAAAGTTACTTATTTTGTTTTTCAATGTTGTAGGTTTCTATCACTTTTCTGAGAGTATCCTTGTAGGTATAGAAGGTTTTCCTTTTGCTGAGACTGTCATCAGGTCCTTCTCGTTTGTTCCAGGAGGTCGTGTATTGAGTGTTCATTGAGTACTGTTGATGCCCGGCACTGTGCTGGCCACCAGGAGTCCAGCTCTGTCCTCTGTGAGGTTTCCAGTTTAGCTTTCAGGTTTCTTTCCTCTCCTCAGGGGTTCTGGGGCTGATATGATACTTTTTTGTTATGCAAAATACGGGCAGATTTGCTAATCAGAATCAAATGGAAATGTTTTCAGGATTGATAACACTTCCAGTTAATGACTTAGCAGTAGTTCAGCAGGTTATTTGGGGGATAATGAAGAATTTTAAGAACCTGAAAACCTGGGCTGTAATTTGATAGTAAAATGACTTTCAGTTTTATCATTAAAAGATTAAGATGACCAGCAATTTTGCCTATGAAACTGTTGAGGAGGTTTTCAGACTTTCCTGCGATTTGGTGTGAACTGTACAGCATTATAGTACCACGTTCGAGTTTAAATGCCTAAGCTGGAGGCTGCAAATACAACAGAAGCCGTATTCAGTAAAGCACATCTTTTAAACTGCATGCCTGTTGAGACGCTTGTCTTTGTTTGCCCAGGTAAAAGATGCCTACTCTCCGCAGCATATGTGGACAGCCACCAGTGGGAAGCCAGAGAGAAGGAGCACTGCCACCTGGGTAGGTGCTGCTATGTTCTGTCACTTGTAGTCATTCCTTTGTCTCACATCATGCTCACATGAAACACGCATGGAAAGATAGTTTTACGATGACTCAGCTCACAGAAGTACGTTTTACATCCTGAAAGGAATCACTTTTGCTGACCCTGGGTCCCTCATACTGCCTTTGTTATTTGCTGAGCTTGTGTAAGCGATTCTTTCTTGCTTTTCGTTCATTGTGTCATGTTGATAATCATCCTACTGAGCTTGTGTAAGCGATTCCGTCTTGCTTTTCATTCATCATGTCATGTAGTTTTCACATAGCCTGTCTCCATTTTATGGAATTTTATACTTTGTACTTTTTTTTTTTTTAATTTTAAATCACATTGTTTTCTTAACTATCATTGCCAAGTGACAGATCTGGAAGAAAGTTTGCCCTCTCCTGGAGGCCATGAAAACACAGTGTCTTCCCAGGAGTAAGCTCACATTTACCCTCTGTTCCCCTTCTTCCTTTGTCATAGTTCACAGATGGTGGCCTTTCGTGTAAATGATACCAAGGCCTAAAAGAAGCCACTGACTGCACAAGCACATTTTACAAATGTACTAGCATACTTGTGACTGCCCTGCCACGCATAGGCCCCCACCAGGACACTGTGGACAGAACAGAATAGGAGGTGGGGTATCAGACTCTTGGTGTGCGCGTGAATCTCAGTGCTGGCCTAAACCGCCCCACCCTGTGCTTGTGTCAGACAGAGCAAAGGGCAGGGACATAGCTGTCAGCTCCCACCGCCTTCTAGATGTTTCAGAATGGTCATGGTCTCCCCTGAGCATGTGAGCTGCAGAGTTGGCCAGCAGTTCTGGAAAGGGTGCGTGGGCAGGGCCAGCCAAAGCAGAGCTGGGCAGGGTGTGAAGGTGAGTGTTCGAGCCCTCCATAGGGAACTTATAGTCTGACTCTCACTTTTAAAGGACTGGCACAGCCTTTTAAATCAGCACTATTTACTCTCTTGAAATTAAATTCAAAGCAAATATGTTTCCTTACATAACACTTTCAAATTTATATAATTATCATGATAGAAAAAAGAAAAACGAAGTAATTTGGCATATAGTAGTATTTGGAAATGTAATGAGATATTTAGGCCTCACCAAGGATTCAGAAGTAGCTACATCCTTGCATTCTCCGTGCAAGGCCATTGACACACTGGACAATGGCATGGACATGGCAAGTAGCCGTAGAGTGACAATTTTATTTATAAAATGAGCAGTTTTTGGTAAAACTCTGGATAGCACAAAAGTCTGTCTTCAGTCAGTTTGCATTGAAGATGCATTAATGAAAAATGCAGCTTACTTTTGTTTATGAAAGAAGTACTTTGTGTTTATCTGTAAAATAAAATTAGTTTGCTAATTAGAAACAGGTCTCTCACTCAACTTAGAGGTGAGTTGATGACCAGCAAACCCAAGCAAGCTTCCCATCTGTACCCCACCCCCCAGGAATGGTTCTAGACCTGCACACAGCTGTTGGGACCTTTTCTGTGGGTGTTGGGGATTCACACTCAAGTTTTTGTGCGTGTCCAGCAAACACTCTTACTTGCTGAGCCATATCCTAGCCCCTGGGAATAATTTTCAGCTTACAGAAAATTAGCAAGTTCCTCCCTACGCTTTGCCCATCTTCACTTTTTGTTACCATTTTGATGTATGTGTTTTTGCTTTCTCATTCTGTCGTGTGTGTGTGTGTGTGTGTGTGTGTGTGCGTGACCTATTGTGTCCCTGTCAGAGAGGTGTGCACATGCTTTTTAATTATCTGATTTTGTTTTGCACATTATATAGCCATGTATTACCCAGCATGTTATATACCATAGTACATTTTTTGACTTCATTAATTAATACTTTTTTTTTCCTGTCTTTTCTGTCACTTGACTCCAAAAATGTCCTTTACCACATTTTTCTCCTCTAATACAGGATCCATTTCAGGTTAGCATTGCATTTAAATCAAGTCTTATTTAATTTGAAATTATTCCTTCTCCTTTCTTATTGCTCATGCTGTTCTTACCTTTTCTTAATGGTTAAACTCCAGTCTGCCTCCCCAGGCACACTACTCTTTGCTGCTGTGACTTTGTCGGTGTGTCATCTGGATGTCTGTGTGCCTCCACTAGCCGTGTTGGCTTCTTTCTCCTGTCACTGTGTCTGATTCCTCCACTGCAGCCTCGGCTGGTTTTTCTCTCTCTTGCCTAGTAGCCTAGAAGTAGGGGGACATTAACATAGTGATGATATTCTGCTGCTTCTCTAGGTTTCCCTTAGGTGTTTTCCCATCCGTGCATCTAGGCTGAGTCTGTACCGTGAAGGCTGCAAGGTGATGGTTTCCCGACTCCACCCCTAGTCAGCTCTGTCTTCTGAGGCAGCAGACCTTGCTTTTGTGATTCTCAGTTATCTGTCATTGACATTTTGTTGGTTTATGGTTTTTTTAATGGTGCATTGCTGTCATGAATTATTTGGAAGTCCGGTGTCCCTTCCTTCCGTGCGCTGTAGGCCACTGTCCCTCCCTTCCCTCGCCCTGCACCCAGCCCTCTTGGGACCGCTCGTCCCTTTAGTGGGGAGTGCTATTAGAAGCAGGATGTGGGTGTTAGATGTCCCTTGATCCTAACCCAGAAATAAGTTTCACACCAATACCTCGCTCTCCATCCATCTGCATGGGTTTTTCCCAGGCCTTGCTGTAGTCTCCCTTCTATGCTTAGGTCTTGGCTCCAGGCAGAGGCAGGGTTTTGTGGGGAGAGTCCACAGCATTGCACGGTATACCAGTTCTCTGTCTTCTGTCTAGAAAGTACCAGCTGTGCCTTCCAGTCATCGTGAAGGTCATAAATAACCTACACATGTGAAAGCGCCCTCTGAAGTCACTGTTGTAAAGATAATTCCAGTGTGGCTTCAAATAATTACACAGCAAAGATCATTCTCATGTGCCATGCATGAAGTATCCACAGTGCTTGAAAATACAAGTAAAGGAATGATGCATTCTGGGAAAGCTTTTTAAACGTTTTCCTAGGTGTGGAGGAAAGATGAGGAAGAGGAGACAGCCACTGTATGTGCCTTGTGTTAGGGATAGTTATTAGATCTATTATATGGACACAAATCCAGGGATCTTTGTCCTGGCTACATGAATAAACGATTTGCTTGCCAAAGAATGAGGCTGATAATGTGTAACACATAAATATAATGGGGCAGTTGCATCTTCTCCGTTAAAAGCAATACTTGGGAAAGTAAATTACCGTTTACTGAACACCTCCAGGCATTGCTGCCCCTCCCCCTCCGCCTTCAGTACCTTGCTACACCCAGTCAGAACTGTTTTCCTACTTTTTTTTTTTTTTTTTTTTTTTTTAGAAACAGTTTGTGTGGCCCAGGTTGTCCTGGAACTAGTTCTGTAGACCAGGCTGGCCTCGTGCTCAATAGAGATTCCCTGCCTCTGCCTCCCGAGTGCTGGGATCAAAGGCATGTGCCACCACTGCCTGGCATGTTATCTGGCCTTGTTGCCTTCCTTAAGAAGTGTGATGTGGATTGTGCACCCAAGAGGCTGGCATCTGGGTTTGTGTCTCAATTTTACCACTTTCATCTGTCGCTGTCCGTGTCTATAACCATAAATTGAGGTATTTGGTGTCTACCTTAGTTCCTAAATATTCATCTTAGAAATATGTGTAATGAATAAGTCCCTGGGTCCCTTGTGTCAGACACTGTATATATTATTTGATGTGAAGTAAAGTTTGAATTCAGACTGTGTGGAAGAAAAAGGAACCTTCGGAGACCGTATTTTCCCGTTGTGTAACTGCTCCTGCCTCTGTTCATACAAGCACATTTTTCTGTGTGTCATGACTGCTTGCTTAAACAAGGTTGAAATCTGATCCTGCCTGCTGCCTGCTCCGGGTGCTCCTGTGGCTGCATCCCCGCTGATCAGGCAGTAGATGGCAGTGTGGTCCTTGAGAGAAATGCTTTTCCTTCTGCGCTGGGCGCGGACCTATCGGGGAGCTTGCGTTCACGTGGAGCGCCGTGATTGGACATCGCGATGGGAGGGCCGTGAGGTGGTGGGTTCGGGCTCGCTAATTGGAGGAGAGAGGAAGGCCGATATGAGGCATTTGTTCCTGTGGCCTCCCATTGGCGCGGCAGCCGGTGTGTGGCGTCTTTGGCGCTGCCCGCTGGTCCTAGAGAGGTCCTTGCAGAAGAGTGTCCTTGAGCGGTTCTCGTTCCTTGACTGTTGCTTATAGCTTTGCCTTGTGCATTCCAAAAGATGCACAGATCGTCTGCAGTGAATTAGCACCAAGTGAGCACACCCGAGTAGGAGATGGAGCATTCGTCTTGCTTTCCTTGGAAACACCTGAGCTCCTGACTTGTTTAGGCTATCTTATAAGAGTTTTAAATGAGAAAGCGTAAAGCAGAAAAGATAATAATGTAACGAACTCCCTTATTCATTTTTCATTGTTTCAGCAATTATAAGCGCCGAGCCTTTTTTCTCTTTCTGCACCCCTACCTAATCCTTTGAATTTTTTTAAGACAGGCCCAAGGAAGCAAATGGTGGGGAGAGGAATATGTTTTGTGTGTTTCAGAAGACGTTTTTAAAGCCATTGTTACATATATAAAGCATTCATGTGGATGTGAAATAACCAGCTTTCGGTGTTCCTTGCTGTGAACTCAGGGAACCTCAGCCAATGCCTCTGCCTCCCGAGTGCTGGGACTGGACACGTGCTCCACGACGCCCGACCACTTTGTGGTATTCTTTGTTTCGAGACAGGGTTTCTCTGTAGCTTTGGAGCCTGTCCTGGAACTAGCTCTTATAGACCACGCTGGCCTTGAACTCACAGAAGTCAGCCGCCTGCCCCTGCCTCCTGAGTGCTGGGATTAAAGGCTTGTACCACCACCGCCCAGCTCAGTTTCTGGTATTCTTATAAGTACATTGAACAAGGACCCAGTTGAAGCATGGCAGTAAAGTTGGTTGTCCTTTTCTTGACTCTTTAATAAAATCTGTTTGTAGAAACATGAAGGTGTTAACAATTAGATTTCGTCTACATCCTATTCCTTCATTAGCATTTTAATTATCCATGATAGAATTTGTACCTAAGGGGCAATTTCAAAATACCCTCCAAAGGCGATTGCCATTATAAATGTACAGATTTGGTTTTTTGTTGTTGTTGTTGGTGGTTTGTTTTTTTCAGAGTTTCTCTGTGTAGCTCTGGCTGTCTTGGAATTTACTAGTAGATCTGGCTAGCCTTGAACTCAGATCTGCCCGCTTCTGCCTCCCCAATGCTGGGATCAAAGGCAGAGGCCACTTTTGTTTTTGGTAACTGTTGTTTCTGTAGAGGCCTTATAACTGAGCATGTTATAGCTGAGAGCTGTTTGCTTTGACTGTTGTCTGTGAAGGCCTTTGGCTCCAGACTGCTGTCCATACAGATTTAGGACAAGGTTGGCTAGGTTGCCTTGTTACCTTCAGCTGGCAGTTCAGAGGTGAGTCTGACTTGAGCATACCGTCCTTCTCATTTCCAGATGTGTGAATGCACACCTCGCTAGTGCATTTGTCCTTTAGTGATCCGTTTGTTTAACACAGGAGCACAAATAGAAGGAAATCTGAAAGTCTATACAATTGGCTCCCTTATGTTTTGCTGTTTCTGCTTCCTTTAGTAACTTCTATGTTTGGGTGTCTGTGTTCTGTCCTTGTTTGTCTTTTAAAACGGGAGAAACAGAAACACAGTTGCAGCCTGGTTCCTGAGATGCTGTCTAGTGAGTGCAGTAGCAGCCTGTGTTCATTCTTTAGGAGAAAAGGGCTGCTATTGCCGCGTGGGGAGAAACTACAGGTGATAGGAATCCCTCTGGGTTGGTAGCTTCCTTCCAGGACCTTTCCTTTCTTCACCTCTTTCCTTAGCACTGAAACCACACCTCACAGTGGCTCCTTTTCCATTCTCTGTGACTAGCTTTGTGATCACTGAGAAGCTTGCCACAGTCTTCTGAGAATTCTGTTTACTGTGAAGCTATGGTACTGTGGCGTGTGCCAGATTAAAATTAATTTCCTGGTAAAGTCATGTAATGATCCACCTTTCAAAGCCCTGCGTTTTGTCTGTAGCCTTTTGCACCTGATAGTGTCTCACAGTTCTGTCTGTAGCCTTTTAGCTGCTGTTCTCCTAGTAAATGTTTTTGCATTTATTTCCAGTTTTTCTGTGTTCCTATGATTTATACAGCTAGATTTTTGGGCCGTGACCAATCTGGCATTCATTTCCTGATTGGTGGTATATCTGGACTTATTTTTGGTCATATTTTGTGGTTAGTATTATCTCTTGTCTTTTGTTGCTGTTGCTTTTGCTTTAATTTTTGTTTGTCTTGGGTTGGAAGAATCCATAATGTTATATATTTCTGCAGTGCAAAAGGCCAAATCAGACCAGATTAAAAACCGATAAATGCAGGTTCATTGGTTGTTGTTCCTGGGTGGATTGCCTGTCCTCAAGAACCGGGCCAGAGAAGTCACGTGCCTGGGCAAAGGCAGAGAGGTTTTATAGATCTTAGACAAGGGTGGTGGTGTGCACGTGTGGACGGTGCCTGAGGGTGCAAATGACATTGGTGCTGGCCTGTGACTGCCACACCCATTCCTAGGTGCTCCCAGAACGTGGACAAGGACACACAAAACCCTCCTCTGTATTCCCATCACTTGTCATCTCACCTCATTCTCTTCACTTGCTTTTTTGGACATTAAATTAAATTTGTTTCAGAAATTGTTCTGTTTTCAGTGTCTCTTAATAGCATCCTATTGCATTCTGTGTAATTTTGCCTCAGTTTGATTTTCAATTCACTGGTCCTCATGTATGTCTAACCTGCTCCTCAGCTCACCGTTGGCTTGCTCACTTGCTTGGAGACAGGCTGTCCTCAGAGTTGCACTCCTCTCGCCTCCGACCCCGGGGTGCTATATTGTAGACAGACAGCACTGTGCCTGTTCTTATTTCCTGTTCTGTCCCAGCTATCCCTTTCTTTTGAGATTTCTTGCAGTATTTACATAAAAACAAGCCGTGCCTAAAGCACACAGTTTAATAAATTTTGGCAAATGTGGGCTCTGTATGACCTTCCACGCCACAGTCCTGTCACCTTCAAAGGCAGTCTTCTCTAGTCCCTGAAAACCCTTCCCTCCTTTCTGCTCTGTACCCAGACTCCCAGGAAATGACTGATGTGCTTCTTGTCATTTAAATTAGTTAGCCATTTTTAGATTGTGTGTAAATGGACACTCCTTTGAATAAAATCCTTAGCTTGGCATATTCTGAAGGCTTCAGAGGCACCAGGGCTGACTTGCGCTTTGGAATGCTCTGGACCAGCAGTCCTTGTTTATAGGGGCATTGTTTTCCAGTTTCTCTCCAGTACCAATGCAGCTCCAGCCTGACTGTACAGGAGCTCACAACCAGCCTCACTTTTTACAGAGGCTTGATTGTTACCCTTGGATGCTGCCCATTATTAAAACCAGGGCTCCCTGCCACAGGGTCTCCCTGTGTCCTGGGGTGACTGCCATTGATTACTTCCTCAAGCCATCCAAGTGTGAGTTTCCATGTGCCCTCTGGTAATTATATCAATCCTTTTCAAAGCTCAGTTGTATATGTGAGAAATAATTACTACTTAAGTGTTTTATTTTTATGGTAAGAAGGGTGCTTAAAACAATATAGTTCATTTTATTTCAGAAATAGAATTTCTTAGTATTTTATTTGCACTTAGACACCGCATCCAAAACCTGCCTCCCTCCCTCCGTGGTAGTTCTCACACATCTCGCAGTCATCTCAGCAGGCTGTACTACCAACTGCTGGCTTTGTTGCTAATAGACTTGGATGGCCCCGGTTTACTGCAAGCCTATAGAATATGGGGGGAGGCCTGGAAATTCACAGGTTTGTTTCTGGTTTTGTTTTTATGTCTTTCCCCTATTCCCATCCCCAGACAGATTTCTCAGTATAGCCCTGGCTGTCCTGGAACTTGCTTTGGAGAGCAGGCTGGCCTCGAACTCAGAGATCTGCCTGCCTCCACCTCCCAGTGCTGGGATTGACGGTGTGGGCCACTACCATTCTGCTTACAGTTTTAGGGAGTCCACTCCATCATTATAAAAAGTCAGTCTCCTCACTAAAGCCTTTTATGTCCTTAGATCCTCGGTGCGATTGCTGTCTTCACACAAGAGCACTTCACTACTATCTTATGTTCCGTCTTCTAAATGTATTTCCACATCGTGTAGTTGAAATTCTGCTAAATGAAGAATTCGTATTTCAGGTCCATTTCCCTATAGTCTACGATGTTCACAACCACTCGCTTCAGTGTATATTCCTGGGGAGCTAAGAACCTAGGAAAACAACACCTTTGGCACAGCCCATTGAACAGAACTCGGGCATCTGTTGGCCCCTCACTAATGCATAAAGTGTGACTGGCTGTGGAAGGCCACAGTCCAGAAGCCTGTGGTGCTGGCCCTCCGTACGCTGCAGCTGTCCCACTTTCCTGGCCCTCCCGCCCTTTGCTGTTTTCTGCCTCATTCATCACACGAGCGCTGTAACGCGAGGTGATTGGTCATATAGTGTGTTTGCAGTGAACCTTTCTGACTGCAGTATGTAAATGTTATTCATCAGATGCGGGCTCTGCAGCTGTTGCCTTTATTGAAGCCCTGGCCAGTTCCCCTTGACTGAAGACGCCTGGGTGTGAAGGCTTCAGATAGGCTCTGGTTACCATGCTTGGAGGTGATCAGCGAAGCTGTCTCAGTCCTGGCATGGGTGAGATGCTGCGTGTACTGTGGAAAGGACGTGGGAAAAGAACTTGCCAGCATTTCGGTTAGGCCACTAGCTCTTGATCCTGGCTTTGCTTGCTTGCTTGTTTGAATACAGTGTATTGATCATTAATGTAACAATAGTCGTAATTACAGACTTGGTAGCATGAGAGAGCTATTTGGTATCTAATTATGAGCAAGTTCACTCGACAGTATTGATTCCCCTGATAGGAAGGGGTTTAAGGATCTGTTTGAAGGTTTTATGGATGCTATAATCACCTGTTTCAATATTTTTTTTAAATGTCTAGATTTTTCAGTGAAATGGGATTGAATCATGGGCAGAGAATGAGGGGAGCTAGGAGTACTGTACATCTGAGAAGCAGTGGTGTGCAGTGACATAAACCATTTGGAGCGTGTGGACTAGGATCGCAGGTGATCTTGGGGTCTGAGATGAGCCTGACAGCACATGTTACAAGCGTTCTTGTGGGTGTTGTGTTGAGAGGCGCCAACTCCTGGGTAGTGGGGCTACTAATCAGGAAGGGTGGTCAAGGGAACTCCACTTTGTTAGGGAATATCTGCAAGGCCCTTCGTTAATGGCCATTACAAAACCCGTGGAGTCGCCAACATTTGACTGCTGGGAGTAATGGTGTCAGGTCCCCATGCCTGCCCCCACATCTAGTTTCTTCTCGTGGAGTTGGACAGACATGATATTCTGCCTTTCCTTACAGAGGCACCTTATTGATCCATTTTTAAGAGCTAAATTTGTATTTTTAATTATTATTTTGCATTCTCTAGTTGAATAAATTATTTAAAACTGTGACTAACGTCAGTTGTCCTCAGTTTCTGAAAAAGAGCAAGCGTGAGCCTGTTTTGATACTGACTTTGTCATGTTCGCAGCCATCTGGCAGGAGTCGAGTCTGGTGGATTTTCCTGGAGAAATATGTATATTTAACACGATTCTTTCTCCTTTGTCTTCACAGCTGATCTTGCTTCGTTAATGGACAAAGCATATGAAAGGAAGTTGCCTGTTAGTTCTTTGTCAATATCTCGGGTAAGACCATTTTAAAAGAAAGTAGCCTGTTAATTCTTTAGCAGTGCCACAGGTAGGAACATTTCAAACGTGTTTTCAAAGGAGACAAGCAGACTATAGACAAGGCAGTGTTGTAGAAGTAGTGGTCACCATGGGAACTGTCTTCCCACAGTGCAGTATGTTTTCATAATTACAACAGATATTGTATGATGTAGTGGCTGAAGTGAAAGGAAATAAACACACCAGACTCAAGTTAGCAATCACTGATTTGTTTTTTCATCTGGTTACATTATTTCGTGTTTTTAAAGTTACTATGTCCTCTAGTGTGAGAGCAGAAAACACGCATTCAGTAGCTGACCACCATCTATGGAAAAATGGCTGCTGACATTAAACTGCCTGGATAGCGGGGAGGAGGAGATCAGGCCAGCAGTCGGAACCATTCATGGTGGAGCCACTCTGGAGCCCTTCCGTGGTGGTCACTCTTCTAGTTTCTTGCCATGCATCATGTGTGTTCGTTTGCACAGGAGCATGGTGTAGGTACCTCCAGATCCAGCACAGCTTCCAAGAAGAAAGGTGGAAACATCAAAGGCGGGATGTGTTGGTCCCGTCTCGATGGTGACTAGAGGTTACCAGGCTGGAGGTGACAGGTTCCTCCAGTGGGAGGGGAAGGAGAGCTCTTGCCTTCCAGTCCTGTCCTTCCTCTCTGCCTTTGACCTTCTTCATAGGGAGGCAGTTCCACTGTCATCACTTGGGTTTAAGGGACTCCTGTCTGTCAGAGTGGAGAACTGGGAAACCATGGTTTTGAGGGTGGCACCTGTCTGTGGAATGTAATGTCTGGTTTTTGTTCAGGCAACACTTGGAACTTCAACGAGCTTTTGTGTGGGTGCATGCTCCAGCCTGAGATTCAAACTCCTCAGGGCGGAAGCCTGTAGCTGTTTATACAGATGGAGCAAGGAAGTCCCAGAGGGGCTGTGCCATCTGTTTGTGCCACAGCAAGCTCTCAGGAGATCTGGTTCTCCAGCACAGGGCCTGTGTTTGGACCACATGTTATCTGCCCTTTAATGGATCTCTAAATCAAACCCATAGGTCCTGATTCTTTTTAGAAAGTCTCCCTTTTTCCTCCCTTCTCTCTCTCTTTATGAGATTGTGGTTACACTCTCAGCATCCCTGGGCTCTTCCTCTGTCTTCCTGCTTCTGATTGCCCACTTGAGAGCAGAATCCATCCTTGGATAATAGTTTCTGCTCATTCAGGTCATAGGTAAGGAACATATCCACAGATTTTTCCACTTTTTCTTCTCAAGTGCTGGAGATTGAACCGAGAGCCTCATAAACGTTAGTCAAGTGCTCTTTACCAGCGAGCTGCATCCCCAGGCCCAAAGCTTAGTCGATTTTATAGCCTGAAGCCTCCAGTCCTAAAGCAATTGTTCCATACCGACTCTAAAGTCAGAGTCAAAGTGGTTACACACCAAATTCTCTACACTTAGATGCTATGCTCTGAACAGTATTGTCCCAGCCTTTAACGTCCCCACCATTTCCACTACGTATTCCGTGTGTTTGGAGGAGAGACAGGGACAAAGGTGATGATAGCTGTAAACAGTACTGTGCAGAGCTCTCCTCCGGTGTGAAGAAGGGTGGGTTTGGCTTCTCCTGGGTGCTTGCCTGTTGGTGGTTTTGTTTTGGACCAACGTTGTGCTATACATAGAACAGAAGCTATGGTATCTGATTTGTTTTCACCAGTGTGATGGGTTTTCAGAAAGGAACCATACCATGGGACCATTGTCCCAATAAAAAGAGTACATGTCTTTAAAGATCAGTGTATGAACTCGACCAAACGTAGCATAATTTGTATTTAACAAAGGTTTTTTTTTTTCCTTTAGTTTGTGGACAACATTTCCTCTCGAGAAGATATAGATTCTGCAGAGTACTATCTTTACAAGTAAGCTCCCTGCCCACCTCTGCTTCACACCCACTTCGAACACTGGGTGTTTTTCTTCTTTTGTAGTACTGAGAAATGTGTGTGTGTGTGTATGTGTGTGTGTGTGTGTGTGTGTGTGTGTGTGTGTGTGTGTGTGTGATTGAACCCAGTTGCATGTGGTCTAGAGCATTAACAGAAGATTGATGTAGTTGCTTATAGCAAGGAGCCGCTTGTTTGTCCTGGCTGCCCAGAATCAAAATAATCACACAGAAACTATATTCATTAAATCACTGCTTGGCCCATTAGTTCTAATTTCTTATTGGCTAACTCTTACATATTAGTTTAACCAATTTCTATTAATTTGTATATTGCCATGAGGCTGTGTCTTACTGGGTAAAATTTCCAGCATCTGTCTCCGGCAGCTCCATGGCATTTCTCTCTGACTTTGCCTTCTTCCTCCCAGCATTCCGTTTAGTTTTTCCCGCCTAGCTCTGTCCCCTACAGCTCTGCTATAGGCCCAAAGCAGTTCTGTTATTAAACAATGAAAGCAATACATAGACAGAAGGACCTCCTACACCAGTTGCTGGTTTCTGTCTTCGTGTAGACCATGTATATAAGACTGTTGCTTGCTTCAAATCTACGCTGCTGTCTTGGCATCTCATCATTTGCTTTAATCAAAACTAATGCTCTTATTAAGGGATCTTTTTAAAAAAATTCTGTTCTTTATCAAGAAAATTAGCTTATTTTCTTAGCTTTTTGTTTTTTAAGAAACATTTTTTTTGTGTGTGTGACATAGTAAATACTTTTCTGTGTGTGAGAGTTAGGCAAACCAGGCAAGGATAGTGATAGTGATACTTGTTCATTGTCTAAATGTCTGTTTCCCAGTCTCGGAGAATGTACAAAACATATTAAGGCCTCAGGAAAGCTTCTATAAACATTGGCAGTTAGAAACTGTGAACTCCTGGTGTTTCTCTCCCGTAGAGTCAGAGGTTAAGCTTGGACACCAAAGAGCTGATGCTCTGAGGTAGGCCTTCTGCGATTGTTGGGCTAACACCTTACAGAGGGACTTTTGACCTCTCAAAATGACCTTCATATCCCTTGCCTAACATGAAGAAATATCCAGCAACTTCTTAATCTTAAATAGCCCACAGCTTCCGGTTATCCTGCCAGCAGGCAGCATTTCTTACTTCCTGGGGTATTCCGGCACTTAGAGCAGTGGTTCTCAACCTGTAGGTCATGACCTTTTGGGGGTTGAGTGACCCTATCACATGGGGTGGCCTAAAACCATCATAAAGCACATATTTACATTATGATTCATAAGAGTAGCAAAATTATATTTATGAATGAAAATAATTTTGGTTGGCAGTGACCGCAACATGAGAACTGTGTAAAGGGTTGCAGCATTAGGAAGGTTGAGAAGCACTGGCTTAGAGTAAAACTTATTGCTGCCCATGGCATAAGCTTACCTCCTCCCTTGACACAGCCTGTAGCCACCATCATGTCGTAACTGACCGGTGGAGAGCAGATGGACTTTCTGCCGTGGAATCTGGGCACGGGTAGCAGCAGGTCCCAGGACTTATGGCACACACCCCCTTCTCATCTTCTCATCCCTGGAGAACATTTGAAATCTCCAAACAGCACAGACATGAAAGCTTGGGAACTCCAGCGTCGTGGGGTACCAGGGATCTTTACAGAAGGGCTACTTTTGAGGCAGCAGGAGGGACAACAAACATCTGGACATTTGCTGTGGGCCGTGCACCGCTCTTGGGAGCCAGCGATACTGGGATCCTCTGCTCATGGTAGAAAAGGAAACGTGGAGGAAAAGGAGTGGGTGCTCTCGTTACCACAGCAAACTGGGTGTTTAAGGCAGCCTGTGTGTAGACAGAAACCCGAAAACAGTGATACTCTACCGCTGACGGGAAAATCAGCAAGAATGGAAGTGATTCAGACAGTGGGAAGGCTAAAGCTAAGTGAGAGCCAACACTCGGAAAACAGGCCGTGCCAGGAGCACCAACAGTAGCTGGTGTGGCAGAAACTTCGGCTCATGTATGGCATGGGGACAGTAGGACCTGAGGCCGAGGCTCAGGGTACTCAGAGTGGGTGTGGTTTGACTGGGAGGCTGGGGAAACTGGCCCGAGAGTATGCACACACACGCTCTTCTAGGAGTGGTCCTGGGACCCTCTGAGACACCTGGGGCGTGGGTGGGGAAATGAGAACCATGAGAGGCCCCATTGTGCTGCCCCAGGCCCAGCTACTCTGTGCTTTCTATATTGGGGTCTGCAGAGAGCATTTTATAGAGATCTGCAAATTGGGTAAGCATAAAAGTCACATTTTCATCTTTCAATAATGCTTAGCGGTTTCTTTGACTATGAGTATAGATGACAGATGCCGGCACTATTTGAAGCATTTGTCTTTCTCACCAATTAAAGTCATTGACTTTTTCTTTTTTTAAATCATATCACATTTGTAGCAGAATTCCAAAAACTGCTCATCACAGCTCAGAAGCTGGTGTTAGGCTACTCCTGGCTCTGGGGTCCCAGTGCGTATGGTGCAGCGCATATGCTGCCTTACCTGGAACTTCTTAGTGTCTTGATAACTGTCTCTCAGTGTAATTGGGTTCAGTTGTGAAAAAACCCATGTGGAGAAGGGTCCACACCTGCCAGTGTAAAATACGAAAGGTTGAGGACCTCCTCAGAGAGCTTGTGAGCCATAGATTCTTTTGCTGGTCTTCGTCCTGCTTCTTCCTGTAGGCCTTTTGAGATGTTCTATCTTTGTTTTCTTTTCATACAAATACTTTATTTTCTTATTCCAGCTTGCCCCGTGAAGGAAGCCAAGTGCATGACCGATAGGTACCCTGTCTCCAAATGAAAGGTTGGGTATAGTCAGTCCCGATGAGGTGGGTGAGAAGACTCTGCAGGCCCCAGCAGGTTGTCTAATCTGCAACAGAATGATCCTTCCTGAAGGGTGACAGGCCTCTCCAGCTATACAACTTATTCTCTGTTGAGAATTTTACAGTTCTAAAGGGGCCTGTGGTTTCTAGAAAAAGTGTGGTGAATGTTGAATCCATTACCACACAGTACAAAAGGCTCTAGAGCTTTGGGGATGGACCTTTTTCCCAGAGTCAGACTCGTGTGTTGTCATGGAGAGCAGCATGCTGCCCAGTAGTGAGAGGAAGGAAAGTCGGGAGACTGCCTATGGTGGGGTCGCACGTCCATCCATCTGTGTCGTGGCCTCCAGCGTCCTTCAGCAGTTGCTCAGCTGACCTGGCAGATAGCAGGCGACAGGTCAGAACAGCTGGGATGAAGCAGATGGCAGCCTGTGTGTCTCCAGGTCCTAGGTTGGCAGCCTGTCGAAGAACCAAAATAGCTTCATTTTTCAGTGAGCAGAACTGCTGTGATGGCTCCTTCGAAGGCGGGGTTGGAGGAACCTGTGCCTGTGGGGACAGGGAGGGGGGGCTCGTTAGGAGTGGGCTGCGTGCGAAGTCACGCAGTAGTAGCTTTCCTCTGAGGGCTGCTTAGGTCTCTTAAGTTTCTCTGCTAATGTATTACTTCGTCTCTGAAACTCAAACTTGTTTTTTAAGTCTAAAAGTCATTGGGCAGCAAGCAAACCTAGAGCTTTTTTAGAAACAGTTCCCTGCTTTAACTCTGCTGTAGTTGTTTTTATTTGCCAATCCTTACCCCACGCCTGAGAGATAGTCAATTATTATTAATGCTCTGTATCAGACAGTAGCGAATTGACAAATTTGGTTCCTGTCTGACCAGAGATTCATGGGGCTTGGTGATGAGATTGTGAGCCTTTGGCCCCTGCTCCTGCAGTCTGTTCTTTCCCCTCTCATCTAGTTAACAAGAATAGGGTGTGAAGTTCGTTTACTTCTCTTATGCTTCCCAGTATGGCTTATGTTCCCATGATCTGAGATGACTGCTGTCTTTACTACAGTGGGAGGTGATTCTGCATCTGTAGAGTGCTTATGTTCCCATGATCTGAGATGACTGCTGTCTTTACTACAGTGGGAGGTGATTCTGCATCTGTAGAGTCTCCGCTTTTAACATAGCAGCCCAGGCTACTAAGAATACCCACAGAGTATCCATCTTTTTGTTTCTCTGGGGTGAATTTGTAGTCAAATGGCTGGAACATATAAAAGATAGATGTTTAACTTTTAAAGAACTTGACTGCTGTTTTACAAAGTACTTATCCCATTTTATAATCTTAGTGGAATCTCATTCCTCTGCACTTTAGCTGACAGATTAAGCTGGATCAATGTGTATTTATTTTGGCTTAAATTTGCAATTGCTTGATGATTTCCTCCTTTGGCAAATTGTTCAAATTTTTCACCCTGTTCTGGGGGTTATTTTCTTTTTACTGAATTTGAAAATTCCTTTTTCTCAGTCTTGTGTTTTCATTCACTTAATATATTTTTCAAAGTATGGTTTCAATTTCAATGGAAATCCAATTCTTCATGATTTTTTTCTTTTGTTTTCGATATTCTCTAAGAAATCTTTGTCCAATTCAACACCATAGATTTTTTCTGATATTTGCTTTAGAATTTTGTATTTTGTAATTTTAGGTCCTAGAGTTAGATCTATAATTAATTATGAGGATTTTTGTTTGTTTACATATGATAGAAGATTGGGTTCAGTTTTGTTATTGAAAACACCTGATTTTATCTAGGCCTTTTACTGTAAACATAGCGCTCTTTTCACATTGCCTGGATCCTCTTGGTGATAATTTCTTCAATGACTGTTCTGCTCTCTGCTTTGCTTTACTTCGTGATACAAATGTGTCTTGGTAGTAGTTTTTAATGTCTTCATTAGATGACATGGCTTTCTACCCTGGCACTGCTTTATCGGAGTTCTTCTGGATAGCCAGGCCTTTTCCAGTCTGTTTATCTACGCATGTGCTCACGTTTACATCTCTGTCTTTTTAAGATTTATTTTTATTTTGTGTATGAATGCTTTGCTTGCACAAATATATGTCCATAATGTGCATGTCTGGTGCCCGTGGAGGACACAAGAGGGCATCCG